GGCGAGAGTGTTATAAACGTGTGACCTGACCTGTAGGGTGTTGTTGTGGCTTGAAGCGGAGAGTTTGAAGGTGTACCTGAGGCGGGATTGTTGGGAGTTAATGCCAGAAGAAGTACTATTTGGTACATATATTGTAGGGGCCTTAGTTTGCTTAGTGTGCTTCATAGGGCGGCTGTGGTGCAGTCACACACTTTATTACACCATTTTCAGCTGACTTTGGTATTAGAACTGTCTGGTCTTTTCGGGTGAAGTATCAGTCCAGTAATGCAGTCATTTAGCTACCTTGGAACTTGGCACAGAACAGCTTAGAACTGAACTCTGTCCACTGACGCCTAGTAATGTCATCTACCCATCCATGTTAGGTGTTGTCCAGTAAGGTTCCTGTGGTGTTTGGTATAGACACATCCCATCCTGTAATGTCTGACCCAGTTTGTGGCCATACAGATGGCCATATAGTACTACAGTGCATTGCAGTGGCCCAGTGGAGTGTCGGTCGGCTGTGTTTGTCACTGAGGTGCTACGTGTCCACGCCGGCCCTGGCTTAGCCTCCAGCCATGAGTCTTTATGAGGCTTGACAGCGTGTTTACTTTGGACGCCATTTCCTAGAAGTTTCTGCATGGTTTGGCGCTCACTAACAGTTGATGGCCGGCCTCTTTATTGAATTAGTTCTGTCTCAGAGCATGAGAGAGAGGGAGAGAGAGACGTAGTGGTTTTTGTCCCCTAAAAACATCTACCCAAACCCCTTTCCCTACTCTCTGTCCTATTGAAAGGGTAATGAATTTCTGTTCTACACTCAGACATAGACACACACTGACCCTAACCCCATCACAAACATCAACAGAGTCAACTATTCAGGGGGTTATAAATTGTGGTCGCACTCAAGACACAAAGGCAGACAAACAGAAGTGGGGAAACTGGATGGATGTGTAGGGAATGGATGGATCAGCAGCACTGTGTTGTTGAGCTAGCGTTGTTGGAGAGATATTCTCTTATTGGCTCTGCTTTATCCTATTGGCACTATGCTTTATTCTATTGAGAAGCCTCTCTTTGGGATGTAATTTTTATCATAGGTACACTTCAACTGTGAGAGACGGAATCTAAAACAAAAATCCAGAAAATCACATTGTATGATTTTTAAGTAGTTAATTTGCATTTTATTGCATGACATAAGTATTTGATACATCAGAAAAGCAGAACTTAATATTTGGTACAGAAACCTTTGTTTGCAATTACAGAGATCATACGTTTCCTGTAGGTCTTGACCAGGTTTGCACACACTGCAGCAGCAACCTTCTCCCATTCCTCCTCTGGATCATCCAGATGGTCATTGGCAAACTTCAGAAGGGCCTGGACATGCGCTGGCTTGAGCAGAGGGACCCTGTGTGCGCTGCAGGATTTTAATCCATGACGGCGTAGTGTGTTACTGATGGTTTTCTTTGAGACTGTGGTCCCAGCTCTCTTCAGGTCATTGACCAGGTCCTGCCGTGTAGTTCTGGGCTGATCCCTCACCTTCCTCATGATCATTGATGCCCCACGAGGTGAGATCTTGCATGGAGCCCCAGACCGAGGGTGATTGACCGTCATCTTGAACTTCTTCCATTTTCTAATAATTGCGCCAATAGTTGTTGCCTTCTCACCAAGCTGCTTGCCTATTGTCCTGTAGCCCATCCCAGCCTTGTGCAGGTCTACAATTGTATCCCTGATTTCCTTACACAGCTCTCTGGTCTTGGCCATTGTGGAGAGGTTGGAGTCTGTTTGATTGAGTGTGTGGACAGGTGTATTTTATACAGGTAACAAGCTGAGATTAGGAGCACTCCCTTTAAGGGTGTGCTCCTAATCTCAGCTCGTTACCTGTATAAAAGACACCTGGGAGCCAGAAACTTTCTGATTGAGAGGGGGTCAAATACTTATTTCCCTCATTTAAAATGCACATCCATTTTTTGTTGTTATTCTGTCTCACTGTTCAAATAAACCTACCATTAAAATTATAGACTCATCACTTCTTTGTCAGTGGGAAAACGTACAAAATCAGCAGGGGATCAAATACTTTTTTCCCTCACAATGACTAAAATGTAAAATGTAAAAATGTAGTGATAGCTAGGGTCTATTGACCCATTGATGAAGCGAGAAAAGACACACACAAACATGCCCACGCTACCCACTAATGCACACACACATCCCCATCCTCCTTTCCTCCCACTTCTTCAAAGAGAAGACCAAAATATGGTTTCTTCCATTTCAACACTTTGAAACATTGAGGTCTTCACGACCATTATTCAACTAAAGCCTTAATAACCCCATTCTGAATGAACTGACCTTGATCACATGCTAGTTGTAGTGTGCTAGTGCTCTAGCCAAGATTTCACATGCTCTTAATCTCACCATCTGTAACAGATCCGGACGCCTCAGGAACACTATGGCACTAGTGACAGATATGGAAACCAGAGGCAGGATAATCTCCCAGTTAGCACTTTACATCCCCATTGTACTAATCTCAATTCAGAACCCATTCAGATTAGGTCAGTAAAATGATAATGCTTCATCCATCGCTCATAAAGATTAGTCATCACAATGATAATCCCAAATCAAAGCCCAAACATTATTTAATGGTTATCGGGTGGTGATATACATTATATGCTAATAGATAAGTAATGTATGCTTTTATGCTATATAGTTAATGTTAATCATTACTGAGATATCAGCATCTGTAAAATGGTGTCTTGGGAGACCAGTATACAGTATTCATCGGTCATTGGTTGTGGCCTGAGGGAGAAGAAACAGTGAAGAGAAAAGACACTGGGATCAATAAAGCCCACACGAGATCGATATTAGGCCACAATGTTTATTCAGTAGTGTTGTTTCAACGTATAGGTACAATACTGTCTGCTTTTGTAAGACTAAAAAAAAGTGACCATTACAGTCATCTGTGCTCACAGAATGCCAGTCATTATCATCATCCTCCTGGTGTAACGTACGCACCTCCTTACGCTCTCCGAGAGAGCAAGTACATTTCCAAATGGTAGGCACTTTGAAGGTTTAAAACTTTTGTGAATATGCATTTATATATATAATATATATCTTTTTGTATACTAATAAGCAATTGGACTCAATGGTCAAGTCTCTAATAGAAATAAAAAGATAAAAAAACTAAGAAAAGAAAATGAGAGAGAAATGTGGCCATAATGGGAATATGTTTAAGCAATGGTGAGAATACTGTGAGTCTTTGGGTTTTGCGTATGCAGTTTAGTACCTATCTTTTCTATGATAAGCTGAGAGGATGAGCGAGAGAGAGAGGTTGCAGGCAGAAGCTGGAGGGTATAGCAGAAAGGGGAGGAAGGAGGAGGAAATGAGGGAGAGAAGGAGGAGGAGGGGATGCAGGGAGGATGATGGCCTCGTGGGTGGTTGGAGTTCAGATGACAACGTCTACTTCACATTAATGTACATCTCAAAGGCAACTTCACAACCTGTTGTACCTTTCATGCAGAGGTGACCGTTTCAATGAGAGAGGATGGCAACAACAGGTCAATCCCATGGTGTATTTCTCTATGTCTTGTTCCTGGTAACCAACCTCACACTCTCTGAGAATCGCTCAAAGGAGAGCTCCTCACCACTAAACGGAGGAAGGTGTAATCAGCAAACTGCGGGCCAGCACTTACGTTATGTATTGGCCTTAGCTCAAGTCAAAATGCTGTGACTGACCACAACACTTGAAACCTTAGATAAAGGATCCAAAGTTCCATTTCCCTCTAATGACTGGATCTGAATCACCGTGGTTCGCACAGAGCCGACTATTTTCAATGGGCAGCTGGTGCGTGTCCAGTAGCACAGAAAAGGCTGTCAGAGAGGATCTCCGGGCTAAACCATCGACACGGGGAGACAAAAACACTGGCAACACAGTGGAGTGAGAAAAAGGGGGGGGCGGCCGAAAGTTCGACTGGCGCTGGTCCAATCTGATTACATGGAGGAGATGGAGAGAGTGCTGAGGATGAGAGGAGCAGGGGCAGGTGGGACAGGCAGAGTAAACTAGGGGGAGACACTGGGCGTGGCAGGGGGCCAATGCCCCAGAGCCAAATTTAACCCCAAACATAGTAAACACTCAGAGCTGAACGAGACCAGCAGAGAAACAATGCAGTGAATGTGCAATATGAAAAGTTGTATGCAATTAAATAAAATAAAATCATCCACAAGACATACTGTAAAGTAGGTCTTATGTGTTTTTCTTGAGCCCCTGAATCATCTTAGCTTTTTAAGACCGATTACTGTGTTTTAACATGTATGCTGTATAAGAAATGATTTTGACCAAAAGAAACATTGAAAGAAAACAAACAAGACAAACAAAAAAGAAATGAAACGCTCAAGTTCCACTAGATTGATTGACATTGTAACCTGAAGGGAGAACATTTACATTGACAGTTTTCAGCATTAATATGAAGATGAAAAAGCTTCATGAAAACTACAAAGGCATTTAGTTTTTTTTTACAACTGAGAAAAAAATATAAATGAATGAAATACACCTTTTAAAGATCAACGTCAGACATGCTAGGACAATATATTTTTATAGGATTGATACAGAATAATTATATTCAATTATTTCCACTTTTAAAACATTTCTTTACAAATACATAATGCTACAGTTAAAAAGTAGTCAGCGACTAAAAACAGCTCCTTTGACAGAAGACAGATGCAATAGTTTTTTCTCACCTTTACAGATTTTTAAAAATGTTTTTCTATTTTTTTGCCTTTTCAAATAATACACAAAATGTTTAAATACACTGAGATTTGCCATAAAATAAGCCATGCTTGGCTTTTCATAAAAAAAAGAAGAAAATGTCTAAATTACAATACTCTATGCAAAAGCTTTCCTTTATGTAATTTTTCCTCAATCAACTTTTTTCTTTTTTTGTTGTTGTTACAGTATATTTGAACAGGTTTTGTCGTTGTCATGGACTGCTATAAACTGTCACTCTGATTTGTCAATCTTCTCACGAGGGGGCGGGGCTTTATGCATAAAACTCCTTGGTTGGGGCCTTCTGATAGGCTGCCCCGGAGGGTTTCCTCTCTCCCAGGTCGTAGCTGCCCTCATCCTTCTTCCTCATGCGGTAAACCAAGAGGAGGATGAGGAAGATCGCGAAGAGGAAGCCAATAACTCCACCCGCAATGACAGCTGTGGACAGAGAGGAAGAGGTCAGAGGTTAGAGGTCAAAGGCTATTCAGAGGACATTAAAGCTTATTGCATTTAGAGAGGGAACTTTGAATGCACTGTACCCTTTCTTACGCAATCCCCCTATCAAGCTACTCAACATTACTCCCAGGACATGCCCTTGTTTCCTGCGTGTTAACTATTTAAATAGGATTTAATAATTCTTCCAATTATACTTGTATGAGATTTCTTTATAGCCTTGTGGCGAAACAATCTCCCCTCTGCTCCAGTTTTATTTCCACATGTTAAACTGGTGCCTCGGCCCCATGGGTAAAAAGAAACCTGGCACGCTTCCAGCCAGAAACCGTGTGGCGCCTCGGTGTGGAGCGGATAAATGTAAATTAGATTACAGACAATTGGAGTTTGTGGGAGCCATAGGGGACAGAAAGAGGAAAGGTAGCGGTATAGAGGACAGGAGGAGGTTAGCTAGCCAGATCTGTTTCCACACAGTGGGCCTGGGCCTCCTGATCTCTGGGTTTTACATTACTCTAATCCAGAGTATACACAGCCTTGTGAAGGCCAGGGTTTCAGTGGATGTGGCCAACATGACAATAATTGAAAACAGAGATAAAAGTAGTGTAGCTAGCAGACAGTTTGAAAAGTCAGGGCCTCACGTCTCTACATGACAGGTAATTTGAGCAATTTTGAAATACAATAGTTAGACAAATATTCAAGGTTGGATGTAAGTTTTCTACATTGCAAACTTTGGAATAAACAACAAAATCCAAATGAGCAAAGGTGGCAAACTGGATGGATGTTTGTGGGATATATTTCCACCACGACTGTATTGATATCCCTATTTATCCTCATCCATGTCACTTTTCCCAGTAACTATCAGATGGATGTCAGAACAAAGGGGAACTGAAGTGCCAATCCATTTGTAACACTCTACATGTTTATCTCCGACACTGAAAGGAAAACAGCATCAGAGTGCCATTTCCAGTGAGTTCATTTTCCTAGTTTGGATTTCATTAGAAGTGAATTAACACTAAATTGGAGCAAACTGTGCTATGAACTCTGGAAGGTCCCACTGAGGGGTAGAAATGTATTTTATATATTATTTTCAGAAGCTGTAGAGAGCATGAGAGACATGGGGAGAAAATGTCCCTTGGATTATAGTTACAGCACCATTACTACACTGACCTACTAACAGCATGATTAAGGAATTTGGATCTGTTCAGGAAATAAATACAATGTGCACTGAGTGTACAAAACTGCTCTTTCCATGACATACCGACCAGGTGAAAGCTATGATCCACTATTGATGTCACCTGTTAAATCCACTCCAAATCAGTGCAGATGAAGGGTAGGAGACAGGTTAAAGAGACAATTGAGACATGGATTGTGTATGTGTGCCATTCAGAGGGTGAAATGGCAAGACAAAAGTTTTAAGTGCCTTTGAACGGGGTATGGTAGTAGGTGCCAGGCGCACCTGTTTGAGTGTGTCAAGAACTGCAACGCTGCTGGGTTTTTCAAGCTCAACAGTTTACCGTGTGTATCAAGAATGGTCCACCACCCAAAGGACATCCAGTCCACTTGACACAACTGTGGGAAGCATTGGAGTCAACATTGGCCAGCATCCCTGTGGAACGCTTTCGACACCTTGTAGAGTCCATGCCCCAACAAATTGAGGCTGTTCTGAGGGCAAAATGGGGGAGCAACTCAATATTAGGAAGGTGTTCCTAATGTTTTTTACACTCAGTGTATAACAGCAATGTTATAACAATTATATTACCGATTATTAGGTGTTATATGGCAGAGCATATATGAAGTTGCTGCATAAGCTAAAGATGCTAAAGATGCAGCAAAGATGCAACCAACAAAACACGGCAGACATCCAAACGCGGATTATCTTGTCATCAATCTTGGCAGCAGACACATTTTAGCATCGCTCCAGACCCAGCATCTGACCTACTTCATAATCAACATTGTAATCAAGAATTCAGAAATAAAATGGCAGTGTAATTACCTGATAATCATCAAAAAAATGTGACAGCTCACAACCCATAATCAGCATTTAGATGTGTAGACACAGGTGCAAAGACTGCACACTGTAGCCTGTGTCGAGTATGAAAATGGTGAACCCCTGTGCTGCTGTACATACCTGCCAGCACCTCTGTTCTCTGGAAGAGGTTTTCCGAGCGAACATCGATGGGCTCCAGGGGGGAGCTGGGGGTGCTGGTGGTGCTGGTGATCTGGTTCTTGCGCACGTCCTCTGTGACGGGTACTGGGGGCTGGGAGGAGAGAATGGAAGAGTAGCGATGGTGGGATACAGGTTTTTTACAAACATAAAGGCCAGGAGAATGGAAGTTAGAGATGGAGGGATATGGTTTATGTACTAACATAGATGCCTGGTTCCATTTGGGTCTCTAGCCCCGAAACCAGGGCCAAGTAAAATCACTCGCAGGACGGATTTGGCCCGAGGGCCACCTGTTGCAGACCCCTGCCCTACACCTTCCGTGTTCACAGATCTGAAAAGACTGGATAGGAGAAAGCAACATGGCAGAAGCCACACTAATACTATTGGAGGGTTTGGTGGAGTCTTTACTGTATTGCTTTCACCTCCCTGGTGTCTTCATGTGTACATATTGAATGGTAAGGGATTAGAGGAAGGAGAAAGGGACCACAACGGAACCAGGCCAGTGTCCTTTGACTCTGCTGAAAGGCCAGTGACTGCCCCTAAACTAAGAAATAATCTAGGCCATCACCCAACACACCAAAGGGGGGTCCAAGAGCTGATGCTGTAGTGTTCCAAAATGGGAGATTATGACTGTTGATTCAGTAATCCAGCATAATGTACAACAAACCACAGCAACATCAGGAGCCTAGATGACTGCTTGATCCTTATCCCCAGAGGAACCTCTTGGAGGGTATTATCATCACTGCATTAGAGGGATTTGATGACATGCTATGTTAACGAGTTAAGATTTCTGGCTGATGGTTTATACTCTTCATCTGTGGGCAGACCAAAGATCATAGATCACTATCTAGCAAAATGCTTTAATATTAGTGTGCTATTAGGGCTCTATTACCAATGACTACTTTTTATGTATAGAATTCCAGCATCGGGGTCAATGCATGTTCAACTGTTATTTTGGGTGTGGAAAGGCCCCTATAGAAAATAGTAGGCAATTTCCAATCTTACAATATCTACCATATGTGGCAAAAAAGGACTGGTTCTAGGGCAGTTCGGGCAAATGCCCATCTTTAGCTTAGTGGGCCAGTCTAAATGGTTGTCATGTTCACTCACCTCTGTTCTGACTGGCTTCCTGGGCGTTTCCCTAGGCAGGTCTTCTCTGGGCATGTCTGTCTCCACTCTGGGAGTGAAGTCTTTGGTGGAGTCCTGGGTGGGTTCTGCTTTGGGCGCAATGTACAGCGTGCTCACAGTCACCGCCTCCTCGATCACCTCCTCAGCAATGCCTGCAGAGCAAGATGAGGAGATAGCACTGTTGTACTACTTCACCAGCACTCAATTACTTTCAGTTGAATGTCTGTCTATGTTTGAGTCTGTATCTAAGTGAAATCAGGCTTTTCATAATAACTTTTTATAACTACCGTACATTCGCATTCATAATTCAATCACAACAGACAAGGCCACCTCCTGATATTCTAGAATGGGAACAGGTGAAGGTAAAGTGAGTCTGGTTTCTTTTCACTGGGAACAGTGTTCGCTACAGTTATCAAAGCTCTTTCATACAGCCTGCTTTGTTTTGGCCATCTGTCTGTTGTTAAAAGTTTTGTAAAAGGGGCTTCAATACCTAAGTAAGACCTCAGTTCTACAGACATGTCAACTCTGGGTGAAAAGCCAATGAATCCTTTAAAGACACAGTATACAGAAATTATCTTTTGTGTGTGTGCGTGAGTGCCAGCCTGCCTGCCTGTTTATGTTGACCCAGTTGAAGGCCACTGTGACCTGACTCTTACCTGATCCTGACCCTGAGTTAAAGTCGTCGTCATCTTCAGGGTAGTAACCCCCGGACCCTATGTCGTCAATGAAAAGTTCATCCACTTCGGATGACGACTTGGCCGCGTCCGCTGTCTGAAAGGGAGAACAACAGAAATGTAAGCACTGAGTTGCATTGAAAAGTGAACACCAATGTTCTTCTCACTTGACTCAAAGCCATAGTTGACCCAAAGATACTTGCATTAGTAGTTTCAGCATTACAGTATGTTCTGCCAATTTTTGTTATTTGCTTGAACATTGTAGTCCATGTACCTCAGAGGGCACTTGTCTCAACAAACCACGCTGGACTATATAACTGTCTCAGAGTCATAACACCACTCTGTAAACAGATTACCATTAAATTAGACGTCTAGCTCCGCCCACCATCGTTGCCAAGGTAAAAGTCCATAGAAGTGTGTGTGTTTGTCTTACAGCTTAACGGACTGGCCAATAGAAAAGCTGAAATTGAACAATGCTGTTTGTGTGACTTGCAAAGGCATCAACCCCCTCAAGACTATAGAATGCTACTCAACAAAATGTTGTCATCCATCCTCAATTTCCTTTACACACAACTTCATATAAACTCAGTGAAATTACTGCACAATGGACAAAACATTGCCATCATTGTCATGTGTGTGTGTGTACATGCGTGTGCGGTGCGTGTGTGCATTAAGTGGAATAGCTAGGTAGGCCCCATGGCAACCTCCATTCAACCTCACTCTGAGCCCGAACGTGATGTCCTCTCCATACTGATGCTGCTTTAGAAAAGGGCCACAAAAGATGGCCAACAATAAATCATCCCTGCGTTGCTAGTGCTTGTGTGGTGGTGGTGCACCAATGTTTTTTGTCCCGTTGGGATTATATTTTACACTCATTGCTTTTTCAGAAAAGGCCGGGGAAGAAAGAATGTTGGAGGACAAAACATAAGGGATTACACTTTTTTCGGAAGGAAGCTGTGATAAGTTGGTTTGTGTTGTTGTGTGTGTGTTTGTGTGTGTGTGTTGGTTCTTCTACCCTTGTGGGGGAACTAAAATCCCCACAAGGATAGTAAAATAAGAAAATTCTCCCTCGTGTGGACATTTCCCACGTCCGCATTAGAACAAAGGCTATTTTAAGGTTAGGGTTAGAATTAGGGTTAGGGGTTAGGTTTAGAAGTTAGGTTTAGGGTTTGGGTTAGGGTTAAGGTTAGGGTTAGGGAAAATAGGATTTTTAATATAATTTTTGTTTAGGTCCTGACAAGGATAGAAGAACAAAACGTGTGTGTGTGTGTGTCTATGTATGGTTGCCTGTTTTACTTTGACTGCAATAGGTGTACAATGGAGTGTATAAAACAGCGAACTGAGTCTATGGGAGTGAGTGTGAACATAGCTCCTAAATGCCTCGGGTGTGGGGGTAAAGAGTGTGTTTGAAGGTCTGTCTGCCTCTCTTCAAAGAGCAGCCTAACACTCTCCGCCGTCACAAAGGGGCAGGTTTGCGGTGGTGAGCATTGGTGAAAAGAGAGGGGATGATAAAACAGAACAATATCTGCCTCCCCTCCAAAGGAGCAATGACTTTCCAAGAGAAAGGCATTCAGGCCAGAGCTGGTTGATCAAAGGATGAATTTGATCAAAGCAACTTGATTTTAACCTCGCTGCCTATTCTGTTTCACCAGCCCCCCAGTTCAGTTCACTAGCTGGGCCCACACATCACTATGCATCAGTAATAATACAATGAATGAACCAAAGGATGGAGCCCACAAATCAAGCCACAAGAAAGGGCCCTAATGAGATAGAGGCAATTGAGGCCACACACTCATGCTCACAAGCACACACACACGCACCCGAATGCACACACGCTCAGGCACACAAATGAATGCACACACACGCGTGTACCCACCCACATTATTCAATACAGCGCTAATCTAAAGAAAGTGAAACTAAACAATGACATTGCTATAATGTGCATGGCACAAAGAGCAAGATAATAGTGAATCAATTCAGATGTTAATTCTAGAGCGGAAATTGTGAGTAAACTCCTGCCTCTTATCACTATTGACATGTTTAACCTTCCAGGAAGACTTGCATTTGAATCCTTATCACAAGCTGGGAGTTCAAGCCTGGAACCCCTAACAAAGGAGCACCCTCCTCATAGAAATATAATTTCTAGAATTAGGCTACTAGTAATTATTTTCTATGGCCATTCTCTCGTGTATGAAAACCCTCTTCTCCTTCCAGATACTGTCCATCTGTTTACTTTCTTTTCACAAAAAGTGAGAGGCCAGACAGAGTACCGGTTCTCTTTCAGCTCATCAACTCCACTAGTGTAAATGGCAATTAGCCTATTATAGCAACTGATGCTCAAGATGTGGTAGTTGTGTAGTGGGACTCCATAAAATCCCCCTCTTGTTGCTCTTCCCAAACAAAGCCTACTCTACACATACTTTGACTACTACGCACTGGCATTCTTTGAAGTCAAGAGATAACGGGTTTCTTCCAAGCAGGCCATTTTCTGTAGAAAGACTATGGCTCTAGAGTGCGGACAGACATCTGTTAATGCTTCAAGCACACACACACACACACACACACACACACACACACACACACACACACACACACACACACACACACACACACACACACACACACAGGCTCTGTGTGCTCGTAAATCCCCCCACAAGTGTTAATGACTATGTCTGGGGGTCATTGTCCACTTCCAGGTATGACCCTAACTAACACAGTGTGAGCTGTCGGCTGCAAAAAATACAATCCCTCTTCACTGGTATGAATGACTGGGAAAAAGCCCATCGAGAATCCACACAGCAAGTCAGAGCCTTAGCCGCCTTATCCTTAGCCGAGACCCTAACAAGCAACAAGCAGCACCTAGCCTAGCGCCTGACTGACTGACTGACAGAGAGACTGCGATAACAAGGGTCTAGCAGCACTGTGGCTTTTATTAGAACAGAACTACAGTTCCTACTGTCTGTCTGAACCTAATGAACTAGTGGCCAGCAGGAGGCTTGGTGGTGATGCAGTCGGTCTCCATGGAGAATGTACACTACCGTTCAAAAGTTTGGGGTCACTTAGAAATGTCCTTGTTTTCGTAAGAAAAGCAATTTTTTTGTCCATTAAAATAACATCAAATTGATCAGAAATACAGTGTAGACATTGTTAATGTTGTAAATGGCTATTGTAGCTGGAAATGGCTGATTTTTAATGGAATATATACATAGGCGTACAGAGGCTCATTATCAGCAACCATCAGTCCTGTGTTCCAATGGCACGTTGTGTTTGCTAATTCAAGTTTATCATTTTAAAAGGTTAATTGATCATTAGAAAACCCTTTTGCAATTATGTTAGCACAACTGAAAACTGTTGTGCTGATTAAAGAAGCAATACAACTGGCCTTCTTGAGACTAGTTGAGTATCTGGAGCATCAGCAATTGTGGGTCAATTACAGAATAAAAATGGCCAGAAACAAATAACTTTCTTCTGAAATTCGTCAGTCTATTCTTGTTATGAGAAATGAAGGCTATCCCATACGAGAAATTGCCAAGAAACTGGCTCTAACCAGAATAGAAAGAGGAGTGGGAGGCCCCGGTGCACAACTGAGCAAGAGGACAGTTTGAGAAACAGACGCTTCACAGGTACTCAACTGGCAGCTTCATTAAATAGTACCTGCAAAACACCAGTCTCAACGTCAACAGTGAAGAGGCGACACCGGGATGCTGACCTTCTAGGCAGAGTTGCAAAGAAAAAGCCATATCTCAGACTGGCCAATAAAAATAAAAGATTAAAGATGGACAAAAGAACACAGACACTGGACAGAGGAAGATTGGAAAAAAGTGTTATGGACAGACGAATCGAAGTTTGAGGTGTTCGGATCACAAAGAAGAACATTTGTGAGACGCAGACCAAATGAAAAGATGCTTGATGCCATGTGTCAAGCATGGTGGAGGCAATGTGATGGTCTGGGGGTGCTTTGGTGGTGGTAAAGTGGGAGATTTGTACAGGGTAAAGGGGATCTTGAAGAAGGAAGGCTATTTACATATTTTTTACATTTTTAGTCATTTAGCAGACGCTCTCATCCAGAGCGACTTACAGTTAGCGAGTGCATACATCATTTTTTAAATTGTCATACTGGCCCCCCGTGGGAATCGAACCCACAACCCTGGCGTTGCAAACGCCATGCTCTACCAACTGAGCTACATCCCTGCCGGCCATTCCATCCCCAACCCTGGACGACACTGGGCCAATTGTGCGCCGCCCCATGGGTCTCCCGGTCGCGGCCGGCTACGACAGAGCCTGGATACGAACCAGGATCTCTAGTGGCACAGTCTTAGACCACTGCGCCACTCAGTTTGCAATGCCATGCCATACCCTGTGGATGGCGCTTGATTGGAGCCAATTTCCTCCTACAACAGGACAATGACCCAAAGCACAGCTCCAAACTATGCAATAACTATTTAGGGAAGAAGCAGTCAGCTGGTATTCTGTCTATAATGGAGTGGCCAGCACAGTCACCGGATCTCAACCCTATTGAGCTGTTGTGGGAGCAGCTTGACCGTATGGTACGTAAGAAGTGCCCATCAAGCCAATCCGACTTGTGGGAGGTTCTTCAGGAAGCATGAGGTGAAATCTCTTCAGATTACCTCAACAAATTGACAACTAGAATGCCAAAGGTCTGCAAGGCTGTAATTGCTGCAAATGGAGGATTCTTTGACGAAAGCAAAGTTTGAAGGACACAATTATTATTTCTATTAAAAATAATGTATTTCTAACCTTGTCAATGACTACATTTCCTATGCATTTTGCTATATTTCCTATTCAAACTAATTTCATGTATGTTTTCATGGAAAACAAGGACATTTCTAAGTGACCCCAAACGTTTGAACATTAGTGTATATCGGGAAATAAATATAATAGACGAGGAAGAAGAGAGGGGGAGGAGAGAGGAGAGGCAGAAACGAGTGAGAGTGACAAGGAGGGAGAGTGACAGAGAGAGAGCGAGTGATATAGAAAGAGGAGAGAGCGAGAGAGAGAGAGAGAGAGAGAGAGAGAGAGATTACGCGCTGCAGTAGACAATCTGTTGCCTGCAGGTTGCTTTGCTAAAAGCCTGTTAAACCGTCAAGCCCATGGCTGGCGGTGTCCGAAAGCCAAAGAGGCTCTCACTATGGCGTGTGCAGTTAGCTGTAAGCTAGCGCTATTCTGAGAGGAGGTAGTTACAGTAGGGTGGGGGTGGGTGGCTATGGGTCGTGGGGGTAGTGTAGGGTAACTTGGGTGAGCCATCTTGACCCGTCTCTAATCCGTGTTGACACATTGCATTCACTTCTTACACGGTCAATATTAACTCACCCCAATACAGGGGAGACGGGAGGAAAAGAGTGTTCCTCAAAGGTATGCAGACACACG